CTTCCGGGAACCAGTGGCAGCGTTTGCTTATCCTCCAACTCCCCCTTCTGGAGTCCGGTTTGCCTACACTCAGGCCCGGTAATTACATAAGGCCTTGTTCCGCTCCAAGGGCTGCTGCTTCCCTCCCACGCAAGCCCCATCCGAACGGAACGTAAGGACGCCAGAATGATGTATTCTCAGCGCCTTTTGAATGTGGGGGCGGAGTGCCACTCCCCCCGCCCGCCTGCCCGCTGGCCTCACTCCTGGCCCGCGCTGGCCGGCGCTTTGATCTCTCAATTCCCCAGAAAGATCAAGTGTCGCCTCCCTGAGCTCAGTGAGGCTCAGCAGGAAACACTATCTGCCTGGAATCCCATCAAAGGTGGGCCCCCCTGGAAGGATCACAACTCTGTCCCCAGGCCAGGGGTGACCCCTGCTGCCTCTTGAGGAGACAGACATCCTTCAGTGTGAAACGCAGCTGAAGTTAAGGATTCTCTTAAGATGGGCCTGCACTTTGCTTAAACCCTGACTTCTAAGCTCTTTTTCCACCCCCCACTGCCAGCAGGAAATGCCACTGGACGCCACCAGGGGGCGCTGTTTACCCTGTAACCACGTACAGGCCCTCGGTGGGTTCCCACAGAAATTAATAGACCCGGCGTTGCATTGTTCCAAGTGACGAAACTACGCAGTTTTGGCAGCTTCCCGTCGGAAGCTCAATCTTTTCCTTAACCGTCTAGCTAGGAAGCTCCTCCAGTGAGTTGCCTGGCTCGTCGGGGCCTGAGAAACGTGGTCGAGAACAGCCAGTTGCACTAAAGGCTCCATCTACGTCCTGGGCCGAAACGTAAGGAACCTCTCACCTCAGCCTGGGATGCTGACCACGGTCGGCCAGCGGGGGCTTCGGAAGGTGGACTAAGGCCCTGGCCCGGTGGCTCTGCTGCTTAGACTGTTGTGCCCATACGCCAAGGCTGTGGGTTCGATCCCCGGTCGGGGGGATGAGGATGATGATGCAGGGTGTACAGTTGAGAAAATACCAGTGTGGTCACTTCCTTTGGTGGCCTAACCTCAAGCTTTCGATAGCTCGGTTCTGGTGCTACTCGGAAGTCAGGTGGCAGGCGCTTTCTCGGTGCTCGTTCAGAGCAGAAAGTTCTAGCAGTGAGACCTCCCTAAGTCAGGTTGCCCGGACACCTGGCGCTGGGAACGAGGGACAGGCAGGGCTGAGCACACGCCGGCTGGAGGATGAGTTACGGCCGGCCCGGACCCCGAGTCAGAGTCACCGCTCCCTCGCTGGGGGGCCCGGACCGGCCGCGTCACCCCTCTGACATCAGTTTCCTTGTCTGTAAAGTGGGATCCCAAGGGTGGGGTGGTTCACAGAATTATTTGGCAGTTAGCAAACACTTGGTAGATGTTATTGTCATGAGGGTCATCTTCACTGGCATCGTCGTGACTGTGACTAGTGCCGGCTCAGTGAGCGAAGGTTACACGTGTGACTCAGTGTCCTCATTAGTAAAATGGGTCTGGTAATCGGCAGCTTCACCAAGGTTATCCACCAGACACTGGTTCGTTCTTGGCACCAGTGTCCATCGCCGGGACGGAGCAGCCAGGGGCAGGCAGGTCAGACACCCCCCCCCCCCACGGGCGTGGCAGCAAGCCCAGAAACACTTCAGGGGATGCTCCCAGCCTCGCAGTCCAGGCCCCCAGCACCCCAGAATGCCTTCCCCTGGGCTCCTGATTGGACCCCAGGCTTCCTCTGCTGCCCCCTAGAGGCCAAGTTCTCTAGGGGGGCCAGTGATCCTGAAAGGAGGGGAGGAAAATGAAATCTTTGCTCCTTCACCTTTTATTTCTGCAGTCTCCGCTGTCTCAGCCTGAAAAGCTCTTCTTCCACTCACTTCACCTCCCCTCCCTAAAGCCGTTCCCCTAAACCAGACTCCCCTTGTTCTGTTTCATGTTTATCCTTACGGGATGCACTTAGCTATCTGGTTCTTTCATCGGTCGTCTAGAACATAAGACCTACCAGGTCAGGGCTGTCGTCTGTCTTGCTCACCGCTAGGACCTGTACCTGGGCCTGATGAATGGGAAGCAGTAATGAATGTTGGTTGAATGAATAAATAAAAACGATAGCAGGTGTTATCCTGCTATCCCATTGGACACCCATTGGTGTTTTTGGAGGAATTGAATGAAGGGACATTTTATGTATATATTATGAGCAATGCTGGCAGCGACTGTTAGCACATTCCTCTCCTCCGCCCTCTCTTCCTCCTCTACTTCCTACCCCCCTCCTTCTCCTCCTCTTCCTCGTCTCCAACAGCAAACGTAACATCAGACCCGCAGCATGACCATAGCTGCCTTATGAGGCCAACACATAGCCCTCCGTCCCTGCCTCCTTGGTAATGCACACCTGTTACTAGGTGCCCCGTCTAGAGGCAGGTGAGTGGGGGGGCTCCTGAGCTAAAACTCACAAGTTGCATCCCTCCTGCTGGGCAATATTAAGAATTAGGAATTTAAGCATCCTGAACACAAAGGATTCGGGGGTTGCCTCTTGGACTTCAGGGCCCCGAGCACATGAGGAACAGATGGTTTGCTCTTCCCATAACCATCCTCTCCTATAAATCATGCTAATTGTCTCCATGTGCCGGGGGCCCACAGGGAGCTCCGCAAGGGCCTTTGAGGAGATTAGCATCTCTGATGTTTGTCATGGAATCCAGAGAAGCATCTGGAAGTAATTCAAGTTAAAGAATTAATGTTGCAGGGTTAAATAATACATGCCTTAAAAAAAATAAGTACAGGAAGTGGTTAGTCCCAGAACCTCCAGGTTCACACCTCTATTTTTGTGGGTTTTCCTTTCAAAAGATAAATTGGCCACGTCATCTCTTTTATTTGTTTGGTTTGGTTGGCAAGCAATTTTTTCCCTGATTGATAGAGGGTCATGTGGTAGGTCAAATGGGATCCTGAAGTGAGGTTTGCGGAAGAGAATGCTCCTTCCCCGGGGCTCCTCGGGGCCACCGTGGAAGGAGCGCCTGAGACTTGGAACCCCAAGAACCGCAGACGCTCTTGGTCCGGAGAGGTGCAGTGACCCGGCTGCATCCTCTTCTCCTTTCTTTCCTGTCCTGTTCAGTGGTTCCATAGTTCACGGTGGTTCATTCCATTTTCCTCTTTTTCATGAGCCGAGCCATGGAGTCCGGGGACCTGGCTTTGAGTTTTCAGATGAGAGGCCATCTTCTGCGCCAAAAGGAAAGGAATTGTTTTTTTGTTTTGGGGGGGGGGCGTACTATGAAGCTGCAAAGGAGAAGAGCAGGGGGGTGGAGGGCGTGCCTGGGCATTTTGGTTCCTGGAGGGAGGGAGCCCGGAGCTGACCCCATGCCCTCTGCCAGGGAGAATAGCTGTGTTGTCTTTCTTGCTAGAAACCTGTAATGGAACGTATTTACTCTCCAGCGACTTCCAGGCTAACAAATAAGGCTTCAAAGCGAATGTGCCCTCCATTTTCGGAGCTCTGCTCTCCTTTAAGGAGGCTTCCCCGGCAGGTCCGCCCGGTGGGCCTGAACTGAAAGAACCAGAACCGGGGTTCTGATCAGCACAGCTCACAGCCCGAGCCTGCGGCACCGGCCTTCTGCCGTCCACCACAGTCTGGCTGGTGTCCTCAGCTGCCTTTGCCCCACATCTGCCGCGCAGACTGGGGGCCCCGTTCCAGCCCTCAAAGCCTTTGCCCCCCCGCCGCAGGGCTCCCCCCTAACAGAGGTGGGGCATGAGAAACGGGTTTGCAGTGGCTCAAATTCTTTCACTGTTGTTTCTTGTTACTCAGTCAAGTTTTTTTTTTTCTCTCTTTCATTTGAAATCCTGTCCCGGGTCTAAGTGACCACGACTGATGATGACGCATGACACAGGTGGGCTTTTTTTTGAAGGTGGTTGAGCCAGCCCTGGTGAGAGCAGGGCCATTAGACCCTCTCCCTCAGCAGTCCTCACCGCAGAGGTTTCGGGGGAGCCCCTGGCTGGGGGGCGATGGGTGAGGTCTGGGCTCCCAGGGCGAAGCCTCTGGTCTTGAACGGACCACCCTTCAGTCACGGCCCTAGAGGCAGTCGGGGTCCTGCCCCGGATTGTTCAGACCATCGCGGGGCGACCCATCCCTGCAGGCGAGTAACTGGGGCCGGGCGGGGAGGGAGGACGCGCGGGCAACGTCCGAGGGGGACGACGAAGGGCACCGAGTGGGGTGGCCGGTGTGGGTCCGCTCCTAGCGCAGGAGCAGGGCTGGCCGGGAGCGGACCCCCGCCCCGCGACAGTTAATGAAAACACACGGAGAGCATTCCGACACTATGAAACGACACGCGCCAACAAAGGAGCCTTCCCTCCACCCCGGCGTCCCGGGCCCCTCCCAGAGGGACCGCTGCTGTCTGCTGCTTCACACGCGCACACGCGCGCAGGCGGGCGGGCACTCTCCTCTGAAACCCGGGCCCCGCTCCGCGCGGCCCTGCGCTTTGCTTTCTGCCACCCCGGAGACCTTTCCGCACCAGCTGCCCGGGGATTTTTAACTCCACATCCCCGGCTCTCAAGGCAAAAAACCAGGGGACGACCCGAAGTTCGGGCACCGGGAGGGATGACCGGCGGGCCGCAGCGACCACCAGAGAGCGGGAGGGGAGGGTCCCGCTACACCTTGGGCACCTGCGCAGAGATCGCCGGGTCGCGGGGGCGGGAGGCTGCAAATAGCCGGGCGGCCCCGGGGGTGCCACCCACCCCCCCACCTCCGCGTCTGCTTTCCGGCGCCTCTGCGGCCTAAGGCCGGAGGGGCGCTGCACCTCGCGGCTCGCGGCCTGGGGGGCGCCCTTCCTTCTCTGCAGCCGCAATGGGCCCCGAGCCGGCCGGGGGTGGGGCCTGTGATGGAGGGGCGGGGCCAGTGCTTGTGGGGGCGGGCACAGGGGCGTGGCCGCGGGTGTGGGACGGTCCAGGGGCGTGGCCTGCGGGGGGCGGGCCGGGGGCGGGGCGGCCGCAGTTGCGGCGGAGGCTGGAGAAAAGTTGTCCCGGCCAGAACGCTCGCTGCCGCGGGATCCGGAGCCGCCGCGGCTGGCACCCGGCAGGGCGGGGCGCCTCCACCGGAGCCGCACGGCGCCGGCCGACGCGCTGCCGGGGTCGCCCCGGGACATGGCCCAGGCGGCGGGGACGGCTGGCGGGCGCTGCGCCCCGGGCGGGAGGTGGGCGGCCTGAGCTGCGGGACGCAGGATGCGCTTCGACGGCGCGGCCCCCGGGCCGGCGGCGCCGCTGTGCGGGGCACTGAGCCTGGTGCTGGGAGCGCTGCTGGGCAAAGGTAAGGCCGGTCCCCGGAGCCCGGACCCGGGAGCCGAAAGGCGAGGTGTCATGAGGACCTCGGCGAGGGCGCCGGTCCCGCCCCACCGGGAGCGCCCGTGGCAGCGCGGGGCTGCCCCTTCCCAGCCGCGGGCCGCGGACGTGGGCCTGGGGCAGACTCCGGAGCTTCTCGGGGCCGGGAGGCGTGGCTGAGGGGCGCTGTGTGTCCCTCCTTAGCTCGGTGGGCGCTGAGCCCAGCGCAGCTCCGCTGCGGACCTAGGGGCTCAGCCGCGGGCGCCCGGCCGCTTCGCCCCTGCATCGGCGCCCCAGCCCCGTCTGCGGGGGCGGGCGATCCAGGAGAGCCGAACGGCCCGGGGAACCCCCTCCCCAGCCCGCGGTGGGGGGGGTCAGGAACCCACCTCGGCCCACGGAGGGACGCGCGCTCCACGCGCAGCACCCGGAGCCCTCGGCTTGGCAGGATGGGGACCCCTCGGCACCCCGAGTTTGGGAGTACGGGAGAGCAGGGGCGCCTGTGGGACCCAGACGGGCTTCCCCGCCCGGTCCCGGGTCCCCTCCCTCGGTCTCCTCACCTCTGCAGTGGGAATGCCCAGCTCGCTTGACGTTGAGGGGACCCCGTCAGCGAAAGCGCGGCCCCCAGAGAACCCACAGAGACTGCCGTTGCTGTCGTTTCGTCAGGCGTTTTTCTGTGCGTGCAGTCCGGGCGGCCCCGGGGCGGAGGGGCGGGCGCGGTGGCCCCGCGGCGGGAGCAGCAGGCGCGGGGGCGCGGTGGCCCCGCGGCGGGAGCAGCAGGCGCGGGGCCGCGGGCGGGGAGACGGGCGGCGCGCGCGGCTGGCGGCGGGTCCGCTCAGAGACCCGGGAGGGCGCCACCTGCCGCCGCTGCCCGCGCGCGCTCTGCGCTGGTCGCGCTCCAGGACCCCCAGGTGAGCCTCCTGCGCTCCGGGCCCATCGGCCACCTCCCAGCGCTGGAGAGCCGGGGCTGCTCCCTCCCGGAGCTCGGCGTCCGGCTGGAAAGACCCGGGGAGGTCGGGTCGGGAGGGACGAGATGCCCCTGGAGGTTTCAAGTAGAGTTTGCTGCCCAGAAGTCGTGGCGCACCGTCTTACATTCCGGAGAAATCCTCTCTGCTTGGAGCTGCGGCTTCTCGGACACACACACACCGACGGGACAAAGGTGTTCCTTCAAGTAGGGCGCCCGCCCCCCTAGAGTGCAGGTGAACAGGTGTGTAGTGGGGGTGGAGGTACTTCTCTGCTCCGTTTGACAGGGCAGCCCTTTCTGGGAGCCGGCGCCTTCATTCTGCTCTTGGCTGTGGGCGCCGTCGTGTCTGGGACTCCGTTTCCCCAAATGGGAAGCGACCGTTCAAAGTCAAAGCCCCTTCCCCCCAGTACTTCCCAGAGGTTGTTTGGTGATAAAGGGACGAATGGAGGCGGAGGTGAAGCTCTGGGTAGAGGCAGATGCCGCCCTTTGACCCTGAGCCAGGGGTGGTGGCCCAGGCAGGGTGTCCCCCCACCTCTAGGAGCGGGTATAATCAGCTGGGACCTCTGAATGATGAAGATGCTTTTTAAAAGGTAGTTTTAGGCTCTTTAAATGGAAGCTCACATTCCCCCCCCCCCCAGAGGATTTTACTTCTGATTTAGAGAAGTGATTGTCACCAATGCCCCAGGGGAGGGGCCAGGCTGGCAGTGTGCTTGGCAAGGGAAGCTGGGAACTGTGTTTGGGGGGTGCACTCACACAGCTAGGGTTGGGGTCCCAGAAATAACAGTTGGACCTTGAGGACCTCAAGGACCTTGAGGACCTTGACCCCAAAGCTGCCCCCTCCCACTGGCCTAGTACAAGCCTTGGTGGTGGGGGGTTCCTCTCCTCGCTTTTCCTTGTCAGTTTTCACTGTGCGGTCTGGGGACCCTTAGGTCTGTAACTGCCTGTGCAAACTGTTGTTCACTTTGTCCTGACCAGGAGCCCAGGTGCAGCCCCAGTCTGTCCCCCTGCCGAGGAGAGGTGCGTGGCGGTGGAAGGCAGTCTCTGACCCTTGTCTAAGCGTGTGCTGTCTTAAAATAAAAACAAAACAAAAAACGGCATCTCTGGCTCTTCCAGCCCGAGGATTTAAGTGCTAATTTCTGGAATCCTTGAAACCACTGATCAATTTTTAATGCCAACTGGATGTTTGTTTTTGACTGTGGATTTAGAGGCTCTGTATTTGCTGGGGTTCGGGATGGTCATTGCGGGGGGAAGGGCTCCCACACCCCCCAGGGAGGCCTCCCAAGGATGCAGACACATGTCCTGGGGGCAGGGGTTGAGCTGAGAGCCCAGGCTGAGTGGAGGAAGTGGCGTGGGGCCGAGATGACCGCAGCTGCTCCACGTCACCTAGGGGACGCCTGGGAAGGTCATTCGGAACCACACCCTCTCTTCCGAAACCTGTGAGACCACACGTGTTGGAAGGCTCAGGGCTATGCAGGTCTTCGAACCGCAAGATGGGTGGTGGCTAGGAAAGGCAGGTAGACGTGGGGTCACACACGTGTTGTATGACGCCCCACGCCGTGGGGGGGCGTGCCCCACAATGGCAGAGTTTGGAATTTTGTGTGAAACACACGTATTCACATAAAGGAGGGTAAAGGTCCCAAATGGCCTCGTTTTGCTCTGGATCAGTGTTGGCCACCCAACGGGTTAAAACAGCAAAGCAACAGCTGGATTCTTCAAGCTCTGGGATTTCGGGTTCCCACTGGAGAACCGGGCCTGTGGCAGGTTTCACGAGCTGGAGGAGGGGATGGGGGGAAGAGGGCCTTCCTGGCCCCCACGCATGTGCCACTACCCCGGGGCGCTGGGGACAGCCTCCCCTTGTCCTTCCTGATCACGGCACACGTCCCTTCCTGTTCCTCACCTGGAAACGCCCCCCCCCCCCCCCACGGCATCTTCCAAGGGCTTCAGTATCTCAGAGGCCATTCTGTGAACCCACCCTGGGCTCCGGGCCGCCCTCGCTCTCCCTGCGTCTGCCGCCGGTCCCCAGTGCTTGGGAACATCATCACCCGCTGACAAGCACTGTTTTGTCCACACAGTGCTTGAAAAACAGAAGTGAATGGGCTCCCCAAATGGGGAGAGTTCCCATAGAAAACTCCAGATTTATGACTTCCCTTCGGAGCGCGGGTGTCTGCCAGCCTTGGGTGCCCTCTGCCACTTGGTGCCACCGCGCCAAAGCTGAGCCTGTGTGTGCCCCTGGATGGGGTGTATTCAGGTCCCCTCGCCCTCCCGCCCTTCCTGCCCCTTCCCACCTCCAGCCCTTCTTGGCTTGTCTCAGGCAGGACTCACTGTTAGCGAGGGTGGCGGAGCCAGTCAGGAAAGGGCCCAGAACTCCGGTTGCACCGGTAGTTAGCGCCTCCGGTAGTTAGAGCAGGGGTTACTCGGAGCCTGGGGTGTGGGAGACGCTTCCTACATCCATAGTCACGAGAAGCAAGGGCAATAAAAACGGGGCTTCGGTGTGTTAATTGCAGTGCAAGGGAACATTACGGAATTAATGGATTCAATGGGAAGTCGGATTGATAGAATATTTTTACAGCAGCCTACTTTGTTTCAAACTCAGGTTTATTAAGTATAATTTGCATTGCAGTCAGAGTCACCTCTTGGCGCATAGAGTTCTAAGTTTTGACAAATGCACGCAGTTAGGTAAACCCCACAGGGGCTGAGTCACAGAACATTTCCATCACCCCCCAGACCCCTCCCCTGGGGCCCTGACCACCACCGACTGGCCCTGCCCCCATAGTTTTGCCTCCTTCCTAATTCCATAAACACAGGGCCATGCGGTGTGCAGTTCCGGAATCTTCCGTCTTGGACTTAGTGCAGTTGTTTGGTGCTCACCTGGAGACCTGTGGTGCGTCCCCTTTGAACACCTGTAATTCCCCACCCCCAGCCGTCCCTCTGGGTGGGTGCCTCACCCTTGGTTTATCCACATCCTGGCTGAAGGACATTTGGATTACTTCCTCTTTCTGGTAACGGTGGAAACAGTTACTATAAATGTCTGTCCACAGGCTTCCCTGTGCACGAAGGTTTCCCTTTGTTTTGGGTAAAAGCCTGGGGCTGGGGTTGCGGGGCGGCATTATCAGAAACTGTCAAAAAGACATTATCTTTTCCAGTGGGGCGGCGCCATGCATCCCCCCCCCCCCCCGCAAGACCAAGGAGGCCCCACCAATGTTTACCTTCTGCACCTCGAAGGTGGCCTGTGCTGTTCTGTTTGATTTATTCCCCAGCAGTTTTAACAGACGCCCAGTGGTGTTTCTTTGACGTTTTCATCCCCACCTTCAGGACTGACGATGAGGAGGACTGTTCCTCATGTGTACTTGCCATTTTAAATCTTTGTGGATGAAACGTCAGTTTCAAATTTCTGCCAGTTTCCTCCATGGCTTGTTATTTCCCCGTTACTGATCTCCGAGGGCACCTTGTATGTTATGGACGGGAGTCCTTCAGCGGCCGAGTGTGCGCAAGTGTTTTCTCCCCAGTGTGTCTGGGGGAGAGCAAAGTGCTCTGATTTTCATGCAGTTTAGTGTATCAGCATCTTCCTCTTCCTCATTGTCCTTTGCTGCCACATCTAAGACATCTGTCCCTGACCCAGGGTCACACGGGCCTCCAGATGCCCACTGGGATGCCCAGGTGCTTCCTGTTGACGCTGACTGGTCACCGTTTTGTGTGGTCGGTCTCTGGGAGGGGTGTCGACATCTCCAGCTCATCTGTGGGTTTGGCTGTTTTTCGTTTTAGTTCTGTTGGCTCCTCCTTCGTGAGTTTTGAAACCCTGTTCCGGGTGCCGAGAGTGGTACCTTCTTGGGGAAACGACTCCTTTGTCATGACACACTGTCCCTCTTTGTTCTCCAAGAGACTTCTCGGCCCGATGTCTGTTTCCTCTGAGATTAATGTCCCCGCCTCGGCTTTCTTGTCACTAGCGTTTGCCTTGTGGTCTCTCTCCTCTCTCTCGTTTTTAACCGATCTGCGTCTTTATATTTGGTGCTGGTTGTTTATAAGGCGTG